AGCACCGCACTATGAAGCAGTGGCGACCTCTGCAGCATGAGTTCGATCCCCGGCTAGTCAGGGAGGTGCCCACATGGCATGGCAGGCCTCTCCTGTCTCACCCACTGCTCCCCTCAGCAGTGTATTTCAGTCAGTCTGCCTGTTCTGTTCCCCACTCTGTCTCTGGGAAGTCCTCTCAACCCCCACATCTCTGGCCTGCATCCCAGCTCTTGTATGCATAAATAAATAAATCTTAAAAAAATAAAAATAATTAAAAAAACCCTGAAAACATTCTACCATCAAATAAGAGGAATAAACAAATTATGATATAGCCAGACCATTAAATATTTGAAGCTATTAAAAATCATGTTCTTAAAAAGTACTAAAAAAGTAATATATTCAGTAGGGTCAACAAGGGGTAAGGAAAAAAATAATTAAATTAAAAAACAAAATTAACAGGCAACTATAAATCAGAGACATTCTACAGGGTAGGGGGAGAGAAGGGGATCAAAACAGGGGAGGGAAGAGCACAAGGGACTATAGTGATGGTGCACGGGTGAATGGGTGATGGGAATTCTACAGGAACTACACCTGAGAGGAGAAAGCATACATTGTACAAAAAGGAAGAATGACATAAAATATACTTATTAAAAAAAGTAACATATCCACATCACTAAGCATAAAAAGCAAGATAGACCATTTTTTAAAAAATTATCTACAAGACAGAAAAAGACAAAGTGTACAAAATATTTCATTTATGAAGTAGAAATGCTTTTCTGTGCCAAAAGTTAATTTATGCTAAATATTAAATACTACACTCAGGATAAAGAAGTAAATAAGACAAATATGTTCCCTGACTTCTTGAAATTGAGTCTAGTGAGGAAGACCTATATTTTTAAAAAATCATCATATATAAAATTATAAATTGCAATAGTTTATTGTGGCAGAAATTGCTAATTATCCCCAGTATTTATTTCCACCTTTTTACTCAGTGTCCCTGAATTTTATCTGCCCATGACCACCTGGAATAGTCTACACTTCCCAGCCTTTCTTACACCTAGTGGGTGGGGGGGGGAGGGTCACACGACTAAATTCTGACCAATGCAATTGAACCGGAAGTGGTGCAAGAAACTCCCAGAAAACAACTTTATTTTAAAAATAAAGAGCTTGCTCTCTGTTGCTTTCCCCCTTCTTACCAGATGGAGCAGCTATTTTGGACTATGATGTGGAAGCTACATGCTGAGGATGGCAGAGCAACAGAACAGGAGGAGCCTGGGTTACCTGACACTGGGGAACCACTATCGTCAGCACTAGTCCACCTTACAAAGCTTTTACATGAGAGACAAATAAAATTCTACCTTGTTTAGGCTACTTTCTCTTTCAGTTTTCAGTCAATCACAGCTGAACCTAATCCTAAATGGCACACCTATGAAGGAAAAATGAAGGGTTCAATGAGAGATTGTAACAGAAATAGCTGATTTTGACAGGAGGAGGGAGTTTTAGGGATAGCTCCTGTTAGGTAGTAATAATTAAGCTGTGGCCTGAAGCCTGGCCAGAGTACCAGGTGAAGGGAGGTGGGGTGGCAAACTGTTCCAGGCAGGGGAAATCAAATATACAAATACTGTAGCTTATGCCTAAATCACCACAGGGAAAAGCAACAAACCTTAGGATGTCAAGACTGCTTCTACAATGAATCAGGAAGAAAGCAGAGCACTGAAGCAACTAAATGCACTGGGGCTCCAATATCAGAATTTCCATTTGACAAGCAACAACATAAAGGTATGTCAAAAATGAGGGTGGAGTACAGAATGAGAATGAACCCTGTTATAGAAATTAATAGTTGCTTCTACACTTCAGCATTACTAGTGTTTAAAACAGTTGGATCTCTGATTAGAGAGGTTTTATATACCATGAAGATAATGTCATTTTAAGTGCTAACAATCCGTGGAACAGATGAATTTGGTGTAAAAATTTTTAATTTTTTGAATCTATTTCTGAGTATAAAAAGGAAATATGTATCGTATTTAGAAAATATATATAAGAGTAAAAAAAAAAATAAACTGCCTGTAAAACTCATCACTTCCCAACATTTTATACTGACTTTTTTTTACACATTCACACACCTACATACATATACATACAATACACACACAAAAAGGGAATGTAATACATAAAAGTTGTGTGTGCTCTTTCACTTAATATATCATGAGCACATTCCTATGTCATTAAAATAGTTTTGGAAACCATGATTTTTAATGGCTATATAACATGCAATTTATTTAGCCAATCAAGTCTGGGGATTTCCTGAGTTAAAACTGTCAACCACAAATTGAAACCCTGTGGTCAAGAAGCTGACTTCAAAATCTGCTATGGAAAGTTTCTATTCAGAAATTTCTAGACACAGTTTGGAAGTGCTAAAACCTAATAACCAAAATTTCAATAAAATTCACTAAGTTTTAGCCATGAAGAATGTTTACTAAAGACCATATTTTCCCCAATGAAGAACACCATTTCATAATTAATCTTGAGGAAGAAATGAAAGAAGTACCAAAGATGGAGGAAATAGTAATAATTAAGAACCAAGAAGTGTCTATTGTAAGACTCAGCAATTTAATTTTTAATAGAGCAAAATGAGATAATGTATGCATCTATTAATTGTATAAATATTCAAATGGCTAACGAAAAAATGATTATAGGAAAATGCATACAGAAAAAGAATGGAAGTAAATATGACAAAGGGTTAATAATTGTTAATTTTGAAATATGACATTCTTTTTTTTTTAAATCTGACATTCTTTAACCTTTTCTGTATTTAAATTTTTCTCCCTCACTCCTCCCCACCAAAAATTAGTGTTAAAGTAAAACTCATATGAATGAGATACTTCAGATTTTAGTTATTAAAGTAGAAGGAAAATCAATAGATTTTGCCAGAAGCTAAGTGGATCTTTTGGGAGGAAAAACAAAAAGCTGGGCACACAGCATTAAGAGTTTCTCCTGAATAAAACTATTTAAGCTAAATATCAATGTTTTATATTGGAATTAAGTCTGAAGAACCAACTTTTGAAGGTTATAGTGTGCTTTCTTCAAATACTATCCTACCTGAAAATGATATATTTTCTGTTCTAGCAGGAAGGTTCAGTAAATTGCATTTCAGTTTGATTCCAGGTCTTTACTTTGTATAACTAAGGTTTTCCTGATGCTAAGCACATGTTTTGAAATTCCAGCTCTGAAATCCAAACTTAGTTCAAATGACAATTAAGAGTTTACCACTTGATGAAATGATTGATTGATATTTTTAATTAAGTGAAGTCCCTAATAGAAAACACAGAATAAAAAGTTAAATAAACTAAACCTTTACCTCTCATAAGCAAAAAATTTCAAATAAATGTAATTTTTTAATTGCCCCATTTTCCCCAATGTAGCTTTAGGTTGTCTTAACTTTGTGGCAGCACCCCCCACCCCCTACTCCACTAATCAGTTCTCACCTGCTTTCCCTGCTGGAACACGTGAATTTTTCAGCAAAAGTGACTCATTTATTGGCATTCTGTCAAACTAACCCTGTAACTCTAAGGAAGTTCAACACTAAAAGAATTCTAAAGTTAGAACAATTTTGCTAACACATATCATTTTGATTTAAGAGACCTGAATCACTTTCAAGAGTCAAATACATACTAACAAACTCTGTTTATATTTTCCTTACAAATTGTTCTCCACCATGCCATCCTCCTCCCAGTTTGAGTTTGGCAACTCCCTAATCTAAAGGAGAAGTCAAGATAAGAGAGCTTAGAAGTATAAGAGCAGGAGAGGGAAGAAAAAAGAAATTGTTCACTCAGCTCTGGGGAAAAAAATCTATTCTGAAACATTAAACACCAGTGTATGTTCCAGAGTCCTCAAAGTTTATTTCTCCCCTAGTTTAATGAAAACACAAAACAATACACTAATTTCCAGGGCCTCCCCTGGTGGCGCAGCGGTTGAGCGCTGGGTTGCGAGGCTGCCCGCAGCCCCTGCAGCGCCAGTTCGATCCCTGGCCACCGGCTAGGGTCCCACAAAAAAAAAAAAAAAAAAAAAAAAACCAGTACACTAATTTCCAATTTAAAAAAAACTAGAAATCTACAGAAGTAAATTACTCTCTTTGCTATTATTTCAATAAATAGAAGTTTAAAAAAATAAATTACTGAGAACTATCTGGTCAAAAATCTTTGCTAAGATGGCACTAGTGTAAACTATCAACTGCAAATCACCTCATGCTTTTGGTTCACACATTGAGCCACTACAAAACAGAAAACTGCCCTTTTTAACCAGAGGGAAAGAAACAAGAAAACAAATGCTTCATAGACATTTACTTAGAGTTCTAACAATTGTCACACTCCACCTGGTGGCAGGAGAAGCCTGAACTGGTAAAGTGGAGGTCACCATACAAAAAATTTCAGAGAATAGTTTCCGGAATGTCTTTAGAAAGGAAAAAAAGCAAGACGCTTTTCTCTTGCCCTATATAGAATAAAGCTAAAAGGTTCAACCAAATTTTTTCCCACATAATAGTAGGTCAATATCTAATAAAGATCGACACAGATGTATGACAGTAATCAGAATGGGAGACCCACATTTAGAGAAATCTATTCATAACCATTCTCTCCACACTAAGTTAAATGTCATCTCAAGTCTTTAAAACAGGTAACAAGGCACATACAGCTGCTACAAGATTCTTTATCACATACTCCCACTAACTTTCTTTACCCCTTTCCCCTATGGGTAAACTAGAGAGTTTAATTAACACAGTTAACAGCAGCCTGCCACATTGCTTTTAGATATTTGCCAGTAACATATACCCATGGGATACTCCAGAGACTGATTTCAACCAAAAATAAAAATAGATAAACAGAGCTCAAACAAAATTAAAACTGAGTCTGGCTGCCCACACTTATTTTCACACATGAGGAAAAATAGCAGTTCTCCTAGAAGCCTCGAACAGACATATCTTTAGAACACAATGTTAAAAATATGCCCCCCCCCCTTTCCCCTACCTGTTTCTCACTCAAAGCTGTGATTTTGGCTTGGAGTTCATGAAGCTGTTTCTTTAAATCAGCATTCTGATTGGAAAGAAAAAATATCTGTGAGAAAGATATTTCATTTGTTAACAGCATAGTAGCAAGAAGACCTTATGCATACTGTATTACAAATGATGAAGCAACCTTAAGCATTTAGCCAATCAGATTTGTCATGCATTAAATGGTAGGCATATTATCACTACCTAATACACAGCTTCTAAATGCAGACTCCTAATACTAGAACAGAAGCAGTTTCTTTGCAACAGTTTTAAATTACAACAAGGTTTATATTTTAGCATCTTGCACTGTAATAGTACCCCTTCTTACTAAAATATTATTATTCTTTATAGAAAGTATCAGTTGACAGAAAACCTAAAGCTCCACTAATCAGACAAAAGCAGGAAAATGTAAGTTATAAGTATGCATACACTGCATGCTTAACAGCATTATCAATAAAGATAAAAGGTTTTTCTCTACTTGCCCTCTCCCTTATTTAGTAGAGTACATTTGTTATTTTAGCCTAGATTTGAAAAGCTGTCAGTGCTGCAACTGCCTTAACACTACATCATTCAAATTAACACACTGACTACTAGGGCATTTTCTCAGTTCTAAAATTCTAGGAATCAAAAAAGAATACTATTTTAGATGAGATACATTGAGTATGCTTGCCTTTATTCAAGTGGGAAAAAAAATCCAAAATTAAAGTTTTTAAATGCTTAATTTAGCAGGATAGCCTACTGAAGACTGACTACCACCCCAATGAGAGACTATTTTTATTATTTCACAAGTACTTCTTTCAGTTCACCCTGCCTGCTCTGAGAGAGTTGGGGTACACACCCCCCCTCCTCATGTTTACTCCATGTGGTCTTTTTTACAAGTTTATATGCTATAATGCCTCTCTGACAGATTACCCACAAGATTATCCAACAACTTACTGGCCCCAGATTCTTTGGGTTAAAACTGTTCTATTATAGGACTACCAGTTGTATGGTAAATGCTAAAGCTTTTAATAATATTTCAATTGCTGATAACATAGATTAACATAATAAATAAGGAATTTATTAATCTAAGGTCCTGCCTCTTAGTGCCTGAAATCTAATTTAAATTATATATTAAAGTAAAAAAATTAAAATGGAGACACGTCTCATAGAAGCTGGACTATACCAAACAGAAGTTAAGTGTGGGCTACCAATGCCAGATCTCAGAATCAATGGATTATGTTAAAATAGAACAATTAGGCCACTGGGTGCTAAGTCCCGAGTCTTATAAATACTCTCCATACTTATGACCCACCGTCTAATGGATGCAAAAAAAGACAACGCCTGAATAATAATTATAATCATCAAAAACATGGTAACATTCTCTTCAGGGATATAGAACAAAATACCTAAGTAAAAAATTCCTATGAGAATTTAAAGGAGAGGTAACACTTGCTAGATTATTATATAAGATACTTTTAAACCCTAAGGGCTCTTTCAAAAACAAAAACAAAAAAAATTGTAATTGCTTTTTAAAAATTATTCTAAAATTCTCACTCTAAACATAGTGGGATTAAGTATTTTAAAGTTCTAAAGATATTTGTACTATAAACTATGAGAAAATAAGAGTAATTCTGGGCTATAAGCAGTAATTTTGATTGCCATAATAAAATGAAAGTAACAAAGATTAAATGATAAGTTTATTATAATAGGATGATTGGATATTTCTAAACCATTAAAAGAGCAATGTGCTAAAAATTGCTGCTAAAAACTAGATAGTTTTTAAAACTTAAGTATTAGTTCACATTTAATTATTTTATTGTCATTTTAAACTTTTAATTTTAGAACTAAATAAAAGCAATATTTTACCTGTGGATCCTGCTTCATTTGAGCAACCAGTTTCTGATAACAAAGAGAAAAAAAGAGCCATCAGTCTTACATATTGATTCACTATGGCTAATCAGATTCAGCCCCAAAATCTAGAGTTAAATCCACACAAAAGAACAAGCAAAACTACAATCAGAATATTCCAAAACTTCTGTGATCCATACAAAGGTTAATCACGCATTCCTTAGTATCTTAAAAAAAAAAAAAATTCCACTTTACATTGGAAATAAAAAGCTTCTGCTTCTTAACAAATCTGGAGATGTGAGGGGGAATGAGGACTTTAAAAAGGCAATTTAAACAAGCTGCAAGCTCTAAAAACCAAACATCCCTTTAAAATGTTGTCATTGTCTAGAATCCCAAACAAGGCCTGGAAAGAAGCTGCTCTCACACAAAACAGGCCTGTCTGGAGACAGCAAAGCACAGATTTGGCAAGTCTGTTAGTTTGGTTCTTACCACAGAAGGAGTCTAGTGTCAGATGTGACTTTGTCGCTGTCTTCTCTGTGTGGGAGGGGGATGCGCTCTGTGGAGCAGCGATCCTCAGTGTTTGTGGGTAAGGAAATGAAGGAACAATAATGTACAACTCTACCTACCTGGGTTCTTCTGGGAAGGGAAGTGCTATGAGAATACTGAATGAGCAGTCCAACCAAATGAAAAACAACCAAAAGAGAAAAGGACATCATTTGACCTGCCCAGACTTGTGAAAATGTCACTGTCCAATGGTAACAATAACCAGGGAAGGAAGAATTTGAAGGATAAAGGAATATCTAGGAAAAAGTATCTAAAGTATCTAAGAACGAGAGGCTTCCTCCCGGTTAATTTTTCATGTAACTGAAAAATCTGTCACTCTCTTTGTGACAAGGCCTTTTACAAAATTTTGGTCATAAAATCTTTCTAAATTACATATTAAACTGGGGCCTCCCTGGTGGTGAAGGGGTTAAAGTCTCAGTGCTATCAAGTATTGCCCGCCATTGCAGCATGAGTTAGATGCCTGGCCCAGGAACTGACCCAATTGGCACAGCAGACCTCTCCTGATACCTGCTGCTCCCCTCAGCAGTGTGTTTCAGTAGATCTGCCTGTTCTGTTCCCCACTCTGTCTCTGGTGAATCCTCTTACCACCACCCCACACCTCTGTCCCACAGCCCAGTTCTTGTATACATAAATAAAATAAATCTTTTTAAAAAATGTTTTCCACAGGGCCTCCCCGGTGGCACAGCGATTGAGCGCTGGGTTGCGAAGCTACCTACAGCCTCTGCGGCGCCGGTTCGATCCCCGGCTGCTCCCCAGCCACCAGAGGAGGGTCCCACATGGCGCGCAGACCTCTCCTGCCGCCCGCTGCTCCCCTCAGCAGTGTACTTCGGTCCTTCTGCCTGCTCTGCTACCTGCTCTGGCCCTGGTGAATTCTCTCACCCTCCCGTGCTTCTGACTGTACCCAGTGCTTGTGTAAATAAATAAATCTTAAAAAAAAAAAAAAAAAAAAAGAGTTGTATAATTTAAAAAAAAAAAAATGTTTTCCACAAATCCACATAACAATAATCATAAAAGGGAAGAAAAAAGGGCAATTTCCCCCAAAAGATAAAATGTCTATTACCAGTTATTATTATGTAAACATTTACTAAAGATCAACCATGTGCCCATGACTACTTTCTTAACCATCTCCCTTGTCCATAAAGAAAATATATTTCCAACACAGCAATACCATGTAGTTTCACAATAAACTTTCTATCCAGTAAGCTCAATTTTAGCTATAATTTCATTCCTTAAATGGAAATGAATAAAGGGATGGCTTTGCCCCAGGATTTAGTAAAATGTACATGACTTTGGTTTCAGTCTAAGAGGCAGTGCCTGTCATTTCTGGCATCCCTGAACTCGTCATGATCAGTTCAGGTAGCTGATCAGAATAATAACTTTAGCTATGAATAAGGCATGTCACTTGCATGTACTGTTAATACTTTAAACTGTGTTCAAAAATAATGTTCCAAATGTAACTAACACTGAAATATATACTTCAGATGTTGAAACACTATCAGCGCATAAATGTTTATCATTGAACATAAAATGTTGTGTATTAATTAAGGAGAAATATAAAGCTAATGATTTTATGCTTTAAAAGGTAACTGAATATATATGGAAATAGCTTATGTACATATTAAGAAAGTGGCATAACTTTAGGAAGAGTATTATTTTCCTTTTGAAAAAATGTAATTTCAAAATTTAAACTGGATTTTAAAACAGTATAAACATTAAAATTTTTCAGAATTGTGATTTTCATAAAGTATTCCTGAATTCAAAATATAAAACAATTATCTAAAAACTCTTTAATTTTTAGTAATCTAGTTCAATTTAGGTGATGAATATTTCAAGAAAGTCTTGTTTAGGACTTATTTCATATCTTATGAGGATTTACTAAAAGCACAATGTTAACTCTACCTTCTCAAAATTTCTTTGAGAGAAGCATTTCCAAAAATCACACGTACCTTATTAAATCATGTTTGATACATGCAACTTTCAAACTGATTACTATTCTCTAGGAATTCATTCTATGAAGATGGCAACTTTGAACAAATCGTGAATTTAACTATTGTCATTTGGCAGTCAGTCAAACTGGGTATCCAATTCACTGCTACTGTTGTGGGGGAAGGATGTCCTGAACAGAGTCCACAAATAGGTCTTCTGGACCGCACCCCCCACTCCAGACCAAAGAGATCCAAAACACCAAGGACTACAATTCTCATAATATTCACCATCACCAAAGGAGGAATGCTGGGAACTGAGGGTGGAGTTATGAAGCCAGGTTTGAGATATAACCAGACCTGTGGGCCTTGAGGGTGCTTTGCCAGCTTTCAGCATGCTATTGGGGTTTCAGTTCAGTGGAACTGGTAGGGCGCATTCACCAATTTGTCTCTCTCGCTTTCTCCCTGAGTTATTCATTTCCGCTTTTTGTAAATAAACCCTTTATTAACTTCTTTGTATTTGCCTGCAGTTTAGTCTCATTGTAAGTCCCTTTTAACACGCAGGTGAGGATCCACAGTCAGGCCAACCCATTTCACATTGGGGTTGCCCTGTAACACTGTGTTAAAATACTTTTGTCCAGGAACAGAGAAGCTTGTTTTTATAAACAGATTTTTATTCTCCTCAATTAGTATAAACCCAAATAAAATATAATGTGCATAACATATTACATACTAAACTTCTTAAAGTTACCATAAAAACAGAACACTTCACAACGAGTAGCCCACCTGTACACAGGAAACTCTAAGACAACTGCTATTCAACAGTTTAGTAAGACTCAGTGCAGTAGCAGGAATTTCTGAACATACAGAGACTCAATATAAACAGTAAAAACATACAAAGTGCTTTTGAAGTTTTCCTATAAATTCTCATCTACCCTAATACTGGTCAACTTGTAAATCTAGTAGCTATCAAAAGTACAAGGTTTTCTTGCAACAATTTCAGAAATTAACCTTGTATTAGGCTATTCATATAGAGCAAGAAACTATATGTAAGAACAAATACCTTTAAAAAATAGCTTACTTTTGTTCTCCACTCTCACAACTTGAACTGCTATACATTCAAAAAGTAGTCAATTCATAATTTATTACTTTTAATTACAAAGGATTATAAGTGTATCTCTATCTGAATCTACAACCACATCCAGCTAACTCTAGAAAACACATATAAAACATTGATATTCTGTTTATATAATAAAATTAATGATTTAGTTAAGGATAGCTTTTTGTCTCAGTTACATTTATATATAAATAAGACATATTGGGACTCCCTGGTGGCGCAAGGGGTTAAGTACCGCAATATGAAGCAATCCACAGCCTCTGCAACACAAGTTCGATCCCCAGCCGGCTAAGGAGAAACCCACATGGCGAGGCAGACAGTTCCTGTCGTGCCCGCTGCTCTCCCCCTCAGCAGTGTGTTTCAGTCCGTCCACCTGTTCTGCTTCCCACTCTGTTTCTGGTGAACCTCTCACTTTCTCCCCCCTCCCCCCCTACCCCGCATCTCTGGCCTGTACCCCAGCTCTTGTATGCATAAATAAATATTATACATATCTAATATGTAAGTATTTTATATATTTTATAAATAATATAAACATTGTATCATGTAAGTGTAACTGAATATATTTTATTTATTTTTACTTATGTATCTTATAGGTTTAGCCTAGGGAACTGAGGTAAAATGTAAGAATTGTGAAATTTGAAATTTAAACATTTGTGCAGGCAATCACATTTTCATTATTAAAGAATGGAATCAAGGTATAAAACTGAGTTATGAGTAAAAACATCAGTATACATGGTAGTTAAATTAAATATGTCTCATTATTTAAAATATGCATGTTAAGTCATAGGAACAAAGTCTCTCAGTTGAACCAAAATTTAAAAAAATGTATTTAAAAAATACTTTTGATATATGAAAAAAATAAGTTCAGTTCTTTTCTCTGGAAAGTCAGGAATACTTTATTGAAGTTCCTAAAATGTGTTTGTTAAGTAGTGCTTGATATAAGGCAAGTGGTATGTCCCTTTGACAGCATTCTGATAGATGATTAAAAACAGTACTAAAACCTAGAGATGGGCCTGTCTACTAATCTTAGCCATTACTTAATAATATGATGTGGGAGCAGCCAATAATACAACGTACCTGGTGAACCTGAATTTCCACTTTAAGTGCCTCCTGTAGAGTCTGCAACTCCATCCTCTACCTTCTCCACTTTCTCTTATGTTTGCTAATTCTATAGTTTCTTCAGCCTCCGTTTAAAATAACAAATTCTTCTTCTCACAGCAGCTGTAAAGATCACAAAATGTTTTGGATTATTATGCTGGGCATAACGGAAATATTCATGTTAAATTTAAAAAATTACTAGTCAAAAAGTATTTTATTCTCTAACACAGGGCAAGAAATTTCCCAAATAGGTATTTTTCCAAAATGAAATGCCTTGTACTGAATTTTGTTTTTGTTTTTTAAGATTTTTATTTATTTATACAAGAACTGGGGTACAAGCCAGATCCGCGGGAGGGTGAGAGGATTCACCAGAGACAGAGTGGGGAACAATGGGGAACAGAACAGGCAGATTGACGAAATACATTGCTGAGGAGAGCAACAGGCGCAACAGGAGAGGTCTGCCGTGCCATGTGGGACCCTCGCTGGCCAGAATTGAACCAGTGCTGCAGAGGCTGCGGACAGCTTCACAGCGCTGCGCTCAACCACCTGCGCCACCAGGGGAGGCCCTGTACTAAATTTTGTACCAAAATTTCCTGAGCTTTCTTTGAGTGTTCCTCTATAAAACATTTCAATAAATAAGAAAGGAGAGACCTATACTGAACTTGGTCATGAAAACACCTAAGCACCTACTATGCACTCAGCACTGAGCTACATATGACAGTTACAGGACACAGAGATGAACAAGACCACTTCCACCATAGGTGAGAGTACAGAGGGGAGAGTATAACCATCCAGGACACACTGTCCTATAAGAGACAAAACAAAATGGTCATACATTTTTTCAACCTCACACAGAGTAAACTGAAGAGTTCAGGGTCTCTCAGAGGTTAAAGAAGCCTAATGTACACTCATTTGGATAGACTCCTTACTATTTAAAAAACAACTCAAAATGGGCAAATTCTAGTATAACATAAAGGTTTATTTACATTTAGTTAATAATTTAAGGGTTAACACAAATAACAATGCCATGCTGACTGTACTGTCCATAGGCATTATTAAAAAAAGAAATCTGTACACACCAATGAGGTGGGCTATGGATGGGACAGACATTCCCATCTGCTCAAGTGTGGAGTGCATCTCTTTGGCTATACAGGTAAAATGCATGCAGAAATAATGACAAAAATCCTGATATGTGAATGTGAACCTTCCCATTCTCCTCTGCCTATTGCTAGACAATTTAAATTAGCTCAATGGCTAATTTAGTTTGTTTTCTTTTTTTCTTGAATAAGGGATTAGACACTTTAGGTACTCTAACAAAAAAAAAGTTTGTTTTTGCTTAAATTAATTTAAACTTTACATTTTTCTCTTTTCATCTTTGTACCTATAATAGTTGTAGTCAGAGCAGCTTTCCAGCATTCTTACAAACTGAGGAAGGGAACAATCAGGAAACTAGAAGAACTACTATGATTCACAATCATGACACCTTCTGATAATTATTTACCTATGGATAACATCTATATTCTGATATAAAAACTGATATAATGGAATATTAACTGGAGAAGTTAACTTGTAAAGATTAGTTCTCATTATATTGCTTAAGCTAGGTAGGCTTAAAACATCAATGATAATCTCTTTTCTAGGGTTTATAAACTATATCAAGATACTCTAACCTAAGAAGAAAAAGCACAAAACTCCTTTCAACCTCTATCTGTGGAGGCTAGGAAAGGATAGCTGTACAATGGTACTGTCAACCAAAATGTCTGATAAAGGTAGTAAGTTTAGAGGAGATAATTTGGAAAATTATTTTTGATTTGATTAACAAACCTGGGTTTCTAAGCTACTTACTATCTTAGAAAATCTTTGGAACTGTAATAAAAAATAAATATCAGAATCGTTAAGTTACTGACTTACACCAAGATTTTATTTTGTAAGTTTACATATAAAAACAAATGTTAAAACTAGTCACATCACTTTTAAATAGTAAATAATCTCCTTACTCAAATTCTTGACTTATCTATCAGAGCGCTTCTTAAAAACAATCCTAGAACACTGTTAATTTTTACAAAGGTCTACCAAAAAAGTGTATCCAAATATGATTTCTTATATCAGTCAAATTATAACTTAATCTTGATGTTAACGGGGTATTTTCACAACATGAAGACCATATTTTATTTTACTGGTAGTAAGATATAAACACCATAGCTCAGCTCAACTCATACAAACTCTGGAAACAAACAGCAGATTAAAAACATGGAGAACATATGAAATACACACAAAAAGATTAATATAGTTTATGGAGTTGGTGTGCTCACAAATTTTTTAACTATGAAAAAGCAATTAACGAAGAAATGTGAATGATCAACATAAATGAAAAACATCCATTTTCAACAATCATAGAAACGCAAATTTTAAGAAGTTTTGTTTATCACAGTAATAAAGATTTGTAACAGTAATACTCTGAGTTGCCTGAAGGCTGGGTCAGGTGACAATTTCGTAATTTGTTTTAGGTTATCTGGGTAGGAGGAATAAGAGTTATTTACTATATTCTTTTCAAGATACAGATGTCTTCAAATTTTTCCACTGAAAATAAGCAATTATTTTTAAATAACAATAAAATTTAACTGAGGATTAATGAAACATTGGAAGATTGTCAACAATGAAACAAAATGCTCAGAAAGAAAAAAGTAAAACCAAGTTTTAACCAGACACTCAAAATGTCAGAGTACCTTGCAGGGAAAGTCTGCAACTAAAGTTAAAGTGGAACTGTTAGCTTTTATTTCCACCATCAGAGTATTGTTTGTTTATTAGAGACACACAAAGACATGAAGCTTTATTTGGTAAGGACTCTAAATAGTCTTTTTTTTTTTTTTTAATAAAACTAAAGGGTTAAAAAAGGTAACACTTGTTAGAGAAAAACTTATGAAAGATCAGAAGATTCACGATTTTCCTTCCTCAAAAAGATCTCTTTCTGGGGCCTCCCAGGTGGCGCAGTGGTTGAGCGCTGGGTTGCGAAGCTGCCTGAAGCCTCTGCAGTGCCAGTTCGATCCCCGGCTGCTCCCTGGCCACCGGAGGAGGGTCCCACATGGCGCGCAGACCTCTCCTGCCGCCCACTACTCCCCTCAGCAGTGTACTTCGGTCCTTCTGCCTGTTCTGCTCCCTGCTCCGGCTCTGGTGAATTCTCTCACCCTCCCGCGCTTCTGACTGTACCCAGCGCTTGTATAAATAAATCTTTAAAAAAAAAAAAAAAAAAAAAAAGATCTCTTTCTGGATTGCAATTTTAAGAGACTGGTCTCTGTCTAAAGGAACAAATTATATACATAAATTTATAGCTTACCAAAACATGGTAAGCATAAGTTGAATCTTTAAAAAAAGCATTTTGGGGGCTTAGACAACTCATGCAATCATCATTTGAAGCCAGAGGGTAGTTTATAGCATCATAAAGGGAAGTGTTATTTGCTAAAATTTTTAAAGATGGTTTATCAATTTTTCACCAGTTCTAATAAGTTATAACTAACAAGTTGCTGCAAAGTAAATGTAAACATGCTCACAAAATAATGAACAGACATACTTTATTGAGGTACAGTACTTTCACCACCCAACAACTCTAAACACTATCAAAAAGGGCAACAGCCTGCACGAAACACTGTTTGTTACCTTCAAAACTGTGCATGCCAAACCACTGGAATACCCTAATGCCCAATGGCCTCAACTTACCTTCCAGTAACAAAATACAAAAATATAAACGAAAAAACTCCGACAAGCTGGTCGAACAAAAACAATAATCAATTCCACTTAAAGAGAAAAAAAAGCAGCTGTGATGTCTGCAAATAACATTTGTTGTCCCCAAAAAACAAACCCAAAATTCCATTTACTCCCTGTAAAACTACTCTCAGCCTCAATTTTTTGTTTATTTGCTTATAAATCAGGAAATAGGAAGAATATCACCTATTTTAATAGACTGTTAACGCAGTTTAAATAAGGTGAAAAGCCCTATGTAAATTGTAAAGTTCTATGCTTTTTGTTAACTTACTCATATTCAAACACACATTTAATAAACTTTTCAACAGAGTGTATTGCTAAGAAGACTCTAGGCTTTCCTATTTTAAAATGCTTTCAAAAGAGGGGCTTCTAACTATTTTTTGGGGTTTAGTTTTGCTTGGAGATATGTGACCTCTAGATCTTTCATTATGATTCTAATAATGTGTAATGCCATAATCATGAATTTACTGCTAAAAAATACTCTGTTTCTGAATTGATCTAAACTTCTTCCAATCAAAACCTGACTCCTCAACCAACAATTTCTTTAGCAATAAGTCTTTAATATGCTGAATCCCCTAAAAATGGATAGCTCCATATGCTCTATACAATATATTTCTTTGTTGTTAAGGCTCTGCTTTTGATCTGTATTCTCAGAATAGTGAATTAATTTTTTAAAATATGAGCCAGCAGAAAGGCTTTACAGTCACGTACTTAACAATAAAATACAGGTTCAAAGTTCATGCAAAATACTTCTTGTGTTGTATCCAATATGCAGGGGGATAAAATAGTGTCTTTGACTTTTAACTTACCTAACAGTGCTAACAATGATCACGGATGCTAAACATAATAATTATTTTACTATTTATTGAAAACTACAACAACAAAAGAAGAAAATATTAATAATATATATAATTTGTTTTCTTATTTTCATAGTGTTATTTCTCTGGTGACATTCCACAGGTCAAGAGAAAATGCTAATGCACAAAGAACTTGGCAACTCTGATTTTAGAGGCTACCCTTTGAATCTGGCAAGATTACTATGCTCAAATCCTGGTATAAGAACTGTTGACAAAAATCACCTCAGCTAGGCAGAGATGATATTTTCAAAGCACTTAATTTATATATGTGTACATATATATGTGTATAATGTGCACACACATGTAGATTTATGAAGACTGAATGTGTTTCAGTAAAATACATGTATCTTTCCTATTTCTTTTTATTTTTGTAGGGGAGGAGGCCAGATTCTCATTTGAAAATAAAACAACACAAAAAAGTCTACACAGGTCATATGCTTGCAACACAGGGTGTGGTGTCTTGGGTCAAGTCAGGGTTTCCACAGCAGCCTCTCCTTCACAGTCTGCTGCACCTCTCCTTACCACCTGTGTTCATTTCAATATACAGTTTCTACCTCAGCCTCCTGGGCACAAGCCTAGACTGCACAAACACATTCTTCTATTTCCCACTTTTCTTTACAGAAATAAAGTACTTCTAAAATCATGCCAACTGCACCCAACAGGAACATTGAAGGAAAATTTAAAACTCAAAGAAATTCAAAATGAAGCAAGTTGGAGAGCAGTGTGTAAGAGTTTTGTGACAATGAGGCTCAGATTTTAGAATTGGTTGTTAAATTTACAAGAGTGCTATTTAATGACAAAAAAAAAAAAAACACCTAGTCCAGGCAAGCCTTGCCAGAATTGTATAAATATTTATTATACAAAGGATATACAAGAAGGTGTGGTGGTGTCAGCATAACCAATAAGTACTTAATAGAAGTGGAAGTTATGGGATTTAGATTTCAGATCGATTCAAGGAAGAGCTAAGGATTAGAGCTGTACAAAAAAGGAATGGGTTACCTTATGAGGTAGTGAGCTCCCTGTCATTAGAAGGATTCAAGAATGCTGCATATCATATCCCCCTCTTGGAGATTCACAATGCACATTAGCATATTAAAGGTTCTGAGAAGTCCTGCAGTAAAGAAACCTGTTTAACTTTATTTAATGCAGCATTTCCCAAATTATTTGACCACAGAATATTTTACCCATCCCTCCCACCCCACCTCAGTAATATTTATTCATTTCTGTGGAACTAGAGTTCCTCAGAATACATTCTAGAAAATAGTATAAGCTACACTTTTTAAAAATATAGTATTCAGTATGTACCCAAATAACAATCTGTCAGGGAAACAGAATAAATTGCCAGACTGGGTAAAAGGGTGGAAAAGAAGGCCCTTAAGGTCCCTTCTCTAAGATGCTATGCTTCTATTACATCTCACAGTAGAGGGCTATAGGCTCTTCATTATTTTAAAAGGTTCCATGAGAAAAAAGCAAGTAGAATAAAAAGGTAGTAAAATATCCAAGACTCGTCCAAATGCCTCTCTTTCATGTTCAAAGCCCAATGCCTAAAAGGTAAGAGAGACAACTCAAGGAACGTTAAGTCATCAGACAGAAGTATTAACCGAGTATCTACTTCACCTACTAATTCATTTGAGAGAGAGAATTTAAAAAAAAAAAAAAGAGCTGGCTTAAATTAGGGGACTACCTATTCCAGTTATCTTGAGTTCAGTTTTTTATCATAAGACATGCTCTCTAAATGAGGTTAATATCTGTTTGATGCTTAGTCACTAACCTGTCCTGTGCAATATGTGATCTTGAATTAGATTCAAAGAAATGATTGGCTGGGATGATCTACAAATTGTTGGAATATATACTGAAGTAACTCTTCAGGAAAAAATGAGTTTGCCTACATGCCTCAAACTGCTACATTTTTCTCTCTCTCTTTTTAGTTTTTACTCTTTGAGGATGATACAAAACAACACACACTAAAAATATATTATCAGACATGAAGGCAATCCAACATTTAGTTTAAGAAAATAAATGCTTAAGAGTTGAGATTCCCATAGTTACATTCACCTAGTCATTTTGCATACATATATATTAAGGCCATCAAATTTAACAGCATATTAAATAATATAAAACACATTGGGAACCATAACTTTTGAATCTCCTGACTTGAATTTTCAGTCCTAACCACTGCATTAAGGACATTTTGGCAAAGGGGACCTTTACATTTTAACAGGTTATCAAATGCAGGAACATGCAAGTCTAGCAGTATTTATTAGAAACACAAATGCATCTGAAATATGGCTATGTGAAATCAGACAAAAATTCACTTTTACTCAGTGCAAAGAGCAAAGCCTCATTTTTGGGAGAAAGATTTTTTTTGAGGGGAAAAAAAAAAACCAAAACACAACACTGAATAATTTGAGTCATCTAACACGATGCCTACCCAGCAAAGGTACTTACCAATTTTGGGGGAACTGGCTCTCCTTCAGTTCTCTTGCTCTCTGAAACAAAAGAAGGGGAACAAAGAATTAGACAACAAACATAGATTTATGACAAATCATAAAAAGTGGAAAACTTTTCCATCTGATTTTAAGGAAAAACTAAAACACACAAAAGTCTATAAAGCTTTACTATCCAAAAGGGAAAAAAAGGAAGAGACAGGTAGTTTTTACACCAAGTAAAGAATTCAAGGGCAGTTTAAATCCCTAATTTTCCACAGAATGTTCAAGACAAGGTAAAGTAAAGTAGTTGATTGTTACCCTTTCCTAAGAGACGCAGAGAATTGCACCTCATCTACATAACAGAAATACACTCTTATTCCCAACAAATGACCTCCACCCCACTGTTTATTGTTATATCAACAAACTAAGGTAACATCATTGACCCTTAGTTTGAGCAACATAAAAAGGCCTTTTTTAAATTAATTTTGGAATAGACTTTCTTATAGAAGGTTTAAAATTCTTAGCATTTTATAATAATGCATAGTCACAGTTTTCACTCATATTCTTAAAGTTGCCCCACTTTTATAAGTTACATAACACAGAAGTGACCTGTCTTGTATCACACACATATTTAGTGTGATAGAGTCACAAAGAAAAAGGCTTTGGTATTCCAATCCAATGGTCAATAATGCTTTTACCAATTGTGTTTCTTTAAGTTGACTTCAATGTCTGAAAAGTCAGGCTATACAGTTGATTTGTAACTCCTTCCAGACCCAAACTTTTTAAATTAAAATAATTCATAAACAAAAACTTTTCCCCTAATATTTTAGCATTAAATTATTTAAACTCTATATACCATGGTCTAAAACTATAAATTCTTCCCTATGCCTTAAACAATGTATATTGTTGATTGATGTTACTCCAATATGTGTTCTCATTTTCTCAGGGGATATTTTTAAAAATCTTCATGTCATTCATATTATAAATTTTTATTTAATCATGTACAGTTACATCAAACATATAGTAAAATAATTTTAAAAGGGACCAATTTATGCAGTTAACATTTATTTTCAAAAAGAAATTTAATTTGCTGTTTTATCCTGCCTTGCCTTTAGTAGCAATACTTAAAACTCTCAAGCCTATATAAATGACAATTTTAATTGTTGCCAAGGTTAGAATAACTCCCAACTGAAAGAAAAATCATGCAAAAAGTTGCAGAATCATGTGGCTATGCAAAAGTGGATTCTCACAAAGAAAAAAATGATAAAACTACATGTGATAATGGGTGCTAACCAAACTTATTGTGGTACTCTTCATAATATATACATATATCAAATCATAATGTTGTACACCTAAAAAGGATAGTTTTATATATCAATAGCTCAATTTTAAAAAGATGGATTCTTAATATTACAGATACCTACTGGGCTACTGGACTTTGTACCACTTAAACCAGTACCAGGCACAAAGTAAATGTTCAATAAATGTTAAATGAATGAATTAACTGAGTGACACTGAAACTCTATTGCTGGTTTATTTTCCCTATTAGGTATTTCTTATTAGTTCTTTCAGGCTGGGGTAATTCCTTATGCATCAATCTCTCATATCATTATTTGTTAAAAGAATGACTTTGGTTAGAAACAGCTGACTAGGAATTAAAATGTTACCATTTTTAAGATATAATGAAAAGACAAATTGGACTAAACTAAAATTAAGAACTTATGTCCATCAAAAAGTATTATTTATTTATTTATTTATTTATTTATACAAGCACTGGGTACAGTCAGAAGCGCGGGAGGGCGAGAGAATTCACCAGAGCCAGAGCGGAGAGCAGAACAGGCAGACTGACAAAATACACTGCTGAGGGGAGCAGCGGACGGCAGCAGAGGTCTGCGCGCCATGTGCGACCCTTGCCCGGCAGCCGGGGATCAAACTGGGGCTGCAGAGGCTGTGTGCAGCTTCGCAAACCAGTGCTCAACCGCTGCACCACCAAGGAGGCCCCATCAAAAAGTATTAATAAATAAAAGGATGGAAAAGCAAGCCACAGAACTGGAGATGGTGAATGCAACAGATTCAACAATGGTAGATACTCAGAATATATAAAATAAATCAAAGCTCAAAGTGATCAGAATAGGACTGGGATTTTAACTTTTACTTATACAGCATTTTAAAAAAGTATAGTCACATAAAATCTTCTAAAAAGTCATCATCAGTAAAAAGGGAATACAATGGATTACACACCTTATTTCCAGCGCATTTTCTCAAAAAATCAGTTAAGAGTCAATTCCAAATTGATAAAGAATTTTACCATGATATCCTAAAACTGTGATATCATAAAACTGCTCACAAACCAATTACAGCAACTACAGAAATTACATAGGAAATCAAAGCCTGAGAGGTTAAGTGACTCCCCGGAAGGTCAAACAGTTCATTGGTGGTGAAGCTGGAAGAGCTTACTGAGGTTCCTCTAACTGAGCTGGCCTTTCCACTGAACCTCACTTTCTCTTAATCAGTTGCAGTAGTTACTCTTCAAGAAACAAACTACAATAAATACGTGGCAAATATTTTTGGGAAAAGTCTACATATAAAGTTTTAAAGAAAAATCATATAAGCAAGCTATCTAAGGCAGGTTTTAAAACTTGAGATTCTTTATGTCAAGAGATCCCACGAATAGGCTGCAGAGAGGTTTGCCAATTCCATGATACTATAGGCTAAATTCTGTATGTACGAAAATTACAGGACGAGGATCCACAGTTTTAACAAGATTACCAAAGAGATTCAGATACTCAGAAAGAGTAAATAATTTTTAGAACAGTGATTCTTAAATACTGCGCATCAGAACAACCAAAGTATTTCTTCTGAAGACTGATAAATAACTGATAACAGACCACCATATGAAAACTGGTAAAGAAAGATAAACAAATACTTATTTATAAAAAATATTTCTATAATTTAATGATACCAAGTAAGCTGCAAAAAATACTTATATATAAATGTATACGTTTCACATTACCCATATGCAAAACACATTTAAGTATGCAAATTTCCTAACATTAAGCCTATTGAAAGTACACTTAATTTTTTTCTCACATACATTTTCACACTTATTACTAAGGTAGTTCAACATTTTAATCATATCTGCTTAAATTTTAAAAAAATAAAGATTTTTTTCTTGAAAAATAAACTCAACACACACGTCGTAGTAAATAATTTTTGCTTTTAATGATGAACATTATCTTGCTAACATAACTTCAATTTTTTGAAAACTGAAGATTGTTCCCCTCTCTAGAACTTCACAGGTAGTTCTAACTGCTTTAGTTAGATCTCGTAAAGAACAAATTCAGATTTCTGATGTGGTTGTAAAGTTTAAAATACTATCAATAAATCAAAGATGATTAATAGCTACTTCCTAAGTACCTTTTATAAAATATCTAAAACCTTTGCATATGAAAAATATATTGAACAATAAACAAATTTCAGTGAAAAAATTCAACATTAGATCATGTTTTAAATTAGGCTAAAATTCATCCCACTACAAATTTCAAGCGATTAAGTTTATAGTCTGTGCTCAATCATAAATTCTGATAAGGGACTAGAATAGCACAGATAATTGTCATTCAAAGACACTTTAAAATGTCACCTTACGCAGAAGATTCAATCTCTTCTACTACAGCAAGCTGATACACTAATCCTATATACAGTAAGGTTTACTGCTTTTTATCTCTCATTCCTTCCTAACTTTCAACAAAAAGCACAGTAAGTTTGAAATAAACGCAAATCAGGGCTTAGAAGAAAAAGAAGAATCCTGCTTAACAAGATTTAGTTCTTTAGGCCCCAATAGCATAATCATCTAGGTGGCCCTATCCTTACCCTACATCCCTTTAGCACCTCTTCCCTCACTCTCAAGCAGCATTAATTCTTTCCACATTGCTGGGTCATTCTTCTCTATCTTGAAAAAGCATTATAATTATGTAAATGACTGGCAAAATAATAAAACGTGGGGGAAAAAAAAAAAACAGAAGCCCTCTTTGATTCCATTAGTTATTGCACCATGTCTTGCTTCAGATACGGCAAACTGCCTGAGTTAACCACTCTCACTGCCTCTAGTTCCCCTCCTCTTATTCTTTACAGAATCCACTCAATTAGGGGTTTTGCCGGCTTCCACGTTAAGATCACCAATGACCTCCCTGTTGCTAAATCCAGTAGTGAAGTCTCAGCCCTCATTTCCTCGTTCAATCAGAATTACTTCACCCAGTTGATCATTCCTTCCTTCTTAACACCCTTTCTTCTCAACTTCCAGGATACCACCTGCCCTTGATTTTCCTCCTAATCACTCTAGCCACTCTTCTAGATTTCTTTTGCTGGTTCTTCCTCATCTCTCAAGGCCTCAAAATGCTGAACAGCCCCAGGGCTGTTATTGGAACTCTTCCAATAAAGTAATCTCACCAGCCTTGTGGCTATAAAAGGATCTGTACACTGGTGACTCCCAAATTTTTATCTTCAGCCCAGACCTTTCCCCTGAATTCCAAACTCATATACCCAATGCCCACTCAACACTGTCAATAAAAAAAAAAAATCCTGTCAAATAGGTATCTCAAGCTCAAGTCCAAAACTCAACTACCTTCCTCCCCTCCCCCAACCTCCTCCTCACTCATCTCCATCTCAATAAATGTCTATGCCATCCTTTCAGGCCAAACCTTAAAGTCATCGACTCTTTTTCCCCTACACCCTCCATCCAATTCAATAGTAGCCAGTTCCTATCTATCTTCAAAATACTCTGACCACTACCTCCTTGGTCCAAGTCACCATCATCTTTCACCTATATTACTGTAGTAGCTCCTAATGGCCTCTTTGCTTCTACCCTTGTCCTGATAAAGTCTGCTCTCTCAGCAGCAAGAATGGCCGCTTCAGACTTCCCCAGGTGGCGCACGGTTGAGCACTGGGCTGCGAAGCTGCCAGCAGCCTCTGCAGCGCCGGTTAGATCCCCAGCCACAGGGCGCGACAGACCTCTCCTGCCGCACCCACTGCTCCCCTCAGCAGTGTATTTCGTCAGTCTGCCT